CCGCCAGTCGGGGGTGGGGCTCACCAGGGCCTCCACAAGGGTGTAGCCAATTAGTAGGCTGCTGGCATCATCACCAAAATCATCGTCAAAATCACAACCATACCTCCTGTACAGGTGCTGCAATGCCGCCAGGTCGAAGCCATATGCAGCTTCCTTGACAATATCGGCCATGAGTCCCGACACTGACCCATATTCTGACTCAAGCTGAAGGAGCCTGTGTGTGAGGCCCACATGGCCACCACGGGCGGCACCAGGAAGACACCTCCAGTGTTTCAACGGAGTACCGTCCTCCAGGAGCCCCTCACACACAGTCTGATGACCGGCACAGGCGGCTGCTATAAATGCTTGGGAACCGGCTCTCCGTAGCTCTCGAAAATCACGCTCCTGTTGCAGTAGCCACCGGACCGTTTCCAGATGGCCACCTCGGGCAGCTGCTGCTGGCGCTTCCTCAGAAATGAAGAAGCAGCCTTTTCCCTGCAGCCACTGGCACATCTCAATATTGCCGCCCTCGGCTGCTGCGTTGAAGACCTCCCAGGAGAGCTCGCAGCTCGCTGCCTTGACGGCGACCTGCAGGTTGGCCAGGCTGCCGCTGCGGGCCGTCAGGACTACGAGCTCTCGGCGCTTACTTCGTGTGAAGTTCTGAACTGCTTCCGGGCGGCTCCAGTGCCTGTTGAACGCGTGATGGGGTACGGGCTGCGACAACCGGATAGCTACTTTTTCCCGAAACTGGCTCGCCATGGCCTTATTGATTTCCTTGACGGTACATACCACCTCGTTTGGATCCAGGAAGCTAACAACACGCTCGACAAGGTCCGCCGTTAAATTATCCCAACTGTGACCTTTCTCAGGATTCATGTTTTCAGTCTAATAAAAAAGATAAGTAGACAAGGACGATAATTTCACCGTCTGAGATAGTGGTCTTTTAAGCAGTACGCGGTTTGTTACGGCGGACCCCGAGTGCATCAGCACACTGAGTGTCCTATTAGTCAGGCCAGGGCGCACTTACACATACCTGAAACAGGCGATAAAGCCTAGGACGGGCGTATAAGAAAGGCGAAGCATAACCTTACCAAGGAAAAATACCACCTGACAAAACCGGATGCGAGCCTTCGCCCCAGA